ATTTTTACTAGAAAATTTATTATTTATTTATTAATTATTCATTATTTTTTTAAAAATATATTTTAAGCTCGTAATTTTTAATTGAAATTAATTTTTTTTTTTTAATATATAAACTCGCAAGATTATTTTTTAGATGAGTGTATCGGTGATGCAGCAGCTGGGGAACTTTTAATAAAACGATCACAAATCTCTCTTATTCTCGTGGACTATAAAAGACGTCTTTTACAGTAACACGATAGCCATTACGTTGCATAGGCCTTCTTTTCTTATGAATTCATTTATATCTATGCTGATATCATTATCAGTTGGCGAAAAGTTATTCTTAGGGAATAGTTTTCCAACTATATATATATATATATATATATATATATATAGGAATTAAAATGGTTGCGAGAGAAAGAGAAGAGGGAAATTAATATGGAATTGTGAAAGTTAAAGAGCTTTGAAAAGTTGATCAAATTCTGCGAGAAAGTGATAATCTTTTACTCAATTATTAATCACTCTCTAATTATAAAAGGTCCTTCTTTTCCTAGAGAAAGTATAATCCAAATATGGAGTTTTACAATAATTTTTTTTTTTAATATAATAAAAAGTCTGCTTTAAATTGATTTATTTCTAATTTTTTTTTTTTGTATTTTTCAATTAAAAAAAAAAGTGTTTTGTGAAATAGAAAAAAAATTCTTTTCTTCCCACGACACAGAAAAATATAGGGAAATTGTGCGCGCGATACTGTCTCACGTGTCAAGAAAATCCAATTTGTGGAGTAAAAAATTATTCGGTTTCGATATAATACTTCTTTTATTTATTTTTTTTTTTTACGTCCACTATTGTCAGTACTCGTTCATTGTAATTCTCTTCTTCTTTATCTCTTTGTGAAAAGCTCGCTTTAACTATTCCAAATAAATTGCAACCATTTTTTTTCCATTCCATAATATAAATTGTTTATAGACTTTAAAAAAAAGTGGAAATTTTTTTTCCAAGAATTACATTTTTTTATACGCATAGAACATAATAATAATAAAAATAATAATAATTTCTAGTCAAATAATATTATTGAAGTAATAATTTATAGAATTTGACGGTTAATTTTAGAAATGTAGATTTCAGTTCTCTTTGCGCCTTGAAATATTCTTCGCAAAATAATATTCACTTTGGGCGCACACACACTGAAATTAGACTCACATCAGCCGTTTAAAGTCAATGGGTCAAGACAAAACAAAAAGGGATTTTTCAAAAAAAAAGAGATGAAATGACAAAACTTTTAAAAGAGAGGAAATAAACTTTAATTCTTGGAATTGTGAAAGTTGCAATTTTGCTTTAGAATCTGCATATACAGAAATGTATAATATTTCTTGTCTGTTGTGCTTCTGCCATTATTGCAATTAGTTAATTAATTTTTATAGCAAAAAGTATTCTTCTTCTTCCTCGGCATATTCTCATTGTAATTGGAGAATTTTTTATTTTTTTTAATTATACCCTCTTTCTCTCTCTCTCTTTTTTTCCATCAATTGTTCTGAAAATCCTATCATTAAAGAGTTTTTTTTTTCCATTTTGACTTTTAATAGGTATTTGCTTTTTTTTTTTACTGTATAGAAAAAAAAACTCAACTGATTATACACTCAGAAAAAAATTTGTTTGAAGCAACCAAATTTTGGTTAAATCAACAAAATAAATGCATTGATATACAGTTAACCAAACATTTGGTTATGCATAAACCAAACGTTTATTTAGCTCAATCAAATTTTTTCTTTGTTCAAAAAAATTTATTAAAATAAACCAAACAGTTATTTAGATCAAATAAATATTTATTTGAATTAAACAAATTTTGTTTGAACTAACCAAAAAATTGGGTATAAATATAAAAAAAAATGGTACATTTGGTTCAAACATATCTTTTTTCTGAGTGTAGGAAATAAAGAATTGATTTTATGTCATTTTTATGTTTAAAATAAGTGGTAAAAGTAACAGTTTCTTGATAGTAACTCAACCCAAGTTGGTAGCAACTACTGGAAAGTAACATTCGGTCAATGTAATAATTATCAACAATTGGAGGAAGCAACATTTGGTCGTTAGTTTGAAATCTGAATTTTTTGAAATAATTTTTCTTTCATAAAGTCCATTTTAAAAAATGTATAGCTTAGGAAATTAATGTATATTAATTATATGGGACCAACACCCGGTGCATTGTGTGACAAAGAACAGTCTCGTCGGCACAAAATATCTCAATAAGAATAATTAATGATGTTCGCACTGTAAAGTGCATGGTAATGATAAAATGCAGGCCAGAGGGTATTATGAACCGTTATGCGATATTTGACGTATCTACTATTAGTTGTACTCATAATTCCCTTTTATGTTCATATATATATATATATATATATAAATGAGAGGTGAAAAGTTTCTCTAAATATATATATATATAGTTTTCATGAATCAAGAATATGATGTATGTATATAGCTTGGACGAAAATGGCTCTCAAGGTTTCGTACTCAATTGTAAAAATTGGAGCCTTCACTGCTGCCTGCTTTTAGAGTTGGAATTCTCCAAAGTGAATTATGGTGCTTGTAAAATAGGACCTTGGAAAAAAGCATCAATTTCAGTAGATTATATACGTGTTTGGCGAATCTCTTTCTGAATGTTAACAGCAAGAAAGACATTTTCGAAGATGCATTTATGACATGATTAAAAAAAAGAAAAAAAAAAAAGAGTCAATTTCCTTTTTATCCGAAAGTAGAAAGACCAGACTGTGATTTCCCATGCATGCACAAAACCTTCGATTTTGTAATATAGAGACAAGTTCCGCAACTCTCGCGCTTGGAAGCCAATCGACTTTAAATTTATCGTGTCAGCTCAAGTTTATATACTTTTTGAACAGTCCGTTACAAGAGAGAATATGTTTTCAGTTACCGACAACTCTTTAAAGTAGTTTTGAATCCAGCGCAAGAGATAAAATATGTATCGAATAATTATCCTTTTTCAAAATGGCACCTCAAGGCAATGTTTTCTTTTTTTTTTTTTTTCTTCTTTTTTTCTTTGACCCGATATAATATATTGACAAATTGTTTTTATTTGGCACATTGGATCAAATAATATATTTTGTACGTAGCCCCATTATTATAGAACACTATATCTTATTAATGTCTGATAATCGCATCCATTATGAATCAATCATATGTAACATCATTTTTTTTTTGATGCGAAACTTTCCATTTCTTATATATGTGAGTTGTAAATATACTTGAAATTAATACTTTTGCATTTATTAAGAGATATTTTAATTTATGATTATCATATGTATATATACTTTCCGATCTTTATCGATGATCTCTGATACATTTAAAAGTGCATCATTCATTGACATGATTTCTTGGGAATATGGGTCATCATTAATTAATTTGAGCTTCATTAATTATTTAAAATTTCCCCGCGTGTTGATGGCAACTTTTGTTCAGTAAATAGTATAAAAACTACACTATTTCCGGAGTAAACTTTACTATTTTAGTATAGTAATTTTTTTCTATTACCGTAGCAAAAGTTGCTAGAAATGTGCACAAGTTCCGGACAGTTTAGATTTTACTTTGTAAAATATATAGTAAAAGTTACAGAGAAAATTAAAAGGCATTAAAATAAGCTGTAACGCTTATTATTTTAATCTAATTTTGTTTATTTTAATTCATTTTGCTATTAAAATATAAGCAAAATTGGATTAAAATAATAAGCGTTGCAGCTTATTTTAATACCTTATAATTTTCTGTGCATTTTTTTTCTATGTGATAAATTTTTAGCTATTGACTTTCTAATTTTCTTGATTTAAAATTCAAGAATTGATTTTGACACACTGTAATTTGGTACATTTCTTTCTTTTTTTATGTTATTGAAACCTCGGCAAATATTGATAACACGTAAAAGTTTACTTTATCTCGACATTTTTCGCTTTTAAGAGACATAAGTGAATAAGTTGGTAGGATCATTTCGCGAGACATATCGACATAAATCGAAGTTTTTTCTCTCTCTCTTTCTCTCTCTCTTTTTCTCTTGAGCGAGATGCAAGTTAGACTTGAGTTTAGTTCGCTACTTCAACCCTCTCCCGCACATTTTGCTTCGCGAACATTCGTGGTGATACATACTAAGCAGGGCTCTGTCAAAAGCTTCAAGTGCACCAAACGTGCGACATTTTTATTTCATTTGAATTTTCCGTCTCGATATATATATTATTCAATGCCTTTAAAAAGGAGGCGAATATTTTTCTATATATACGAAAACGATGTTTACAAATTTTTCCAACAAAATGAAAATATATTTTTTTTTCTGCTACACTGAAAAAAAAATTATTTGATTCAAATAATCGGTTACTTGACTATTATCAAATGAATATTTACTTGAACCAAATAATTTTTATTTAAACCAATAATTTCAATAAATACCATTTAATTGACTCAATTAAAAATTATTTGGTTCAAATAAATATTTATTTGATAATAATCAACTACCCGATTATCAAATAAATTTTTTTTCAGTTTATTAACTTTTTAATGAGATGCTTAATTTTCATAATTTTTTTTTCCTATTTTGACTATTATACAAATAAATTATAAAATGCAGTTTATTTCTTTTTATTAAAAAAACTATAAACGATTGTTTAAATAAATATTTGCTTGATTTAAATAAGTATACTTATTTTGATTCAAATAAATGCTAATTAACTCGAGTAAATAATTTATTATCTCAAATTTTTAATTATAGTTAAAAATAACTAATTTGATAGAAAAATGTGTGTTTTTTTTACATAACCTAGGTGAATTTAAAATAATAATTATTTAATTTTAATTATACATAAATTTATTATTTGAATCAGTGATTAATTTTTTTTCTACATTAGTTATTTTTAACTTTAATTTAGAGAGAATACCATTAATAGTAAAAAAAAAAATATAAAATTTGGTTTTTTATTTAATGAACATTGTTTAATAGTTTTTTTTGTGCAATTTTTTTGTTTCAGGTAATCAAAGAACTGTACATGTTCTGCATAATTCAGAACAACCGGCATCTGTGTTCGCTATTCTCGAATCTGGAAGTAAAATGGTCCCTCTGATAGCAGATGGTCTCTTTGATTTGCTTATGTTAAAATTAACTGGTATCTACACCAGTAAAAAACAAACAAAAATTGAATCTAAAGGACCGAGATTTGAAGTTGGTGATTTTTGTGTAAAATTGGGAAGTGTCACAATGAGTCAAAACTTCAAGGGAGTTTTAGTCGAGGTATATATATAAAATATTATTTTTATTATTATATAAAAAATTATTTTTTTTTTTACAAATTATCAGAAGGTCTTTAAAAAAAATTAGAATTTTTTACTTTTAAATACTTGATTAATAATCGCGCGCACATGTGAATTTATCTCTATATATAAATGAACAAATGATAAACTCTGCATGATGGAATTTCGTCCAGTTTCATTAAATTCAAATTGATCAATTAAATTTGCGTTTAATTTCTATATACATCAGCCGCAATTCGGGATGAATTATATTTTTTTTAACTATTCCAAGCCGTTTAATTTCACAAAGGATAATGTTTAATTTATATCTTAAAATTCACGCAGCTTAATTCTAATACGAATCAATTAACAAAATAAGTTGTTTAGAATTTAACGTTCTGGAAATTAATTTAATTTAAATCTGAATTAGTTAAAATTTTAATTAAAAATTAGTAAAAATGTTTACTAATTCAGATTCCGAGAATTAATATTCTATAAGTTTCTTTTTTTTTGTTTGCTTTACTCTCGTGGTAAACAGTATTTCAAATTTTTATTAGATTTTTTTTTCTAGAAAAAAATAATTTACATGATCAAATCTTGGTTTAGTATTTGTTTTGACAAAACACTTTTTCCTCTATTGAATGAAGTGTCATTTTATTAAAAATTTTTTTTTATTAGTGAAATTGGTGTTTAAGTAGTCTCATCAAGATTAAACGAAATACATTAGTGGAAATACATTCTGTATAAATTATATAGTTTCTACATATATATATATATATATATACTTGTATAAACAGACAAACGTAAACCCTTTAATGCCTTAGGCTATTCGTTTTACTATAAACTGCAGAGGTCGTTGGTGGCATCCGCCCCCGAAATACTTTACGGTAAAACCGACTACTCCATTAATTTCAATGACGATGTATTCATATCGTAAGCATTGAAGCGTATATATATATATATATGTACAAAAAGAAAAGAAAGAAAAAAAAATCCCGAGTGTCACACTCATTCAGTGGAAAGAAGGAGCTTCACTATTAAATCGAGTCAAATGTTATACAAGCGTAAATTAGAATCTCTACTGACAGAATTATTAATGTGCGCGGTTATAAATTATTACAAAATAAAATTTTTCAAACGAAATTTACGCCTATTTTCAATCTATGTTTTTGTATAAAATAAATTTTTGAATAGGTGCAACTAAATTTGGAGGTTTAAGGAATTAAAATTTTTAATTTATACAAAAAAAAATATATATATATATTTATTTAAACTAAAATATCACGCATAAAATAAATGTCAAAAAATTAAAAACTAGTTAGAAGAAATTTCACCGAAAACTTTTTTTCAATATATTTTGTGCGAGGTCTTTTAAAATTGATTTTATTTTTTAAAAAATTGTTTAATTTTCTCTTTCGAGTCAAAGGAAATGATAACATTTAGTTGAAATCTTTTTTTTTTTGAAATCATAAAATTGCTGGTCTTATACAAAAAAAAAAAAAAAAAATATTTGTACAGAATATCTAGAATAGAGAGAAAAAAAACTGATTGCAGCTTTGATGTTATCTATATATATATATATATATATATTGGAGCTTTTATATTCTGCGTGAGCATTTTTACGCCTGAAAATCTGCCCCATTGAACACCGTTCGAATGAATAAAGCTTCGAAATCGCGAAGCTTGAAATAATAACGACACATAACGGTGTGCGTACGAATATATGTGCTAGATGCAAAGAAACATAATAAAATTTTTCACTCAACCCCCTTTTAAATAAAAAACAAAAACAAAAAATAATCTTTAAGCTTTAAAATTAAATAGACTATTCAAAATTTTATTTTTTGTTTTCAAAATTATATAAAAACAATGAAACAAAAATTTTTTTAAAATTTTTAACTATATTTTCTTTTATGAAAAAAAATCCTTTTATTTCCTTTTTATTTTCTGCATTATACAATTTATATATCTTTAATGATTTTTACAAAAATCATCTGCTATTTTGCATAAAAGGAAATTTCGATATTTTAGATATTGTATATATATATATATTGCAGTATCTTTTAAATGTGTTACACTATTTTATCATAGTTTAGTATTTATTTGTAAAACAGTTATAAATATCGTAAATGTCGAAGCACGCGCCTAGTAACCGCGATAATAATGATTATATTATTTTAAAAATAGTTGTGAACTTTTGCGGAGGCGCCTTAAGATATAGAGGTTGACTTTAGCAGGACATTTATAAAGTATTTCAGTTTAACATAAATGCAATTGCTGCGAGAATATCGAGATTCTATTCGCCCACGATGAAAATAATTTCCAAGAAATAAACTATTTATCCTGGAAAAAGTATATATATATATATATAATTCTTTATTTCAATTTGTTTCAATTGAAGAGGAAGATGATGAAAAAAAATACTATTAGTCATTTGATAACAACCATTTTATAATTTTTTTTATACAATAACATTTTTCTTGTTAGTTATACATAATGTGTTGTAACAACAATTGTTACAATTATTTTTTGTAATTATGTTACATTCAACGTGTTTGTTACTATCACTGGTAGTAACAAATAGTTGTTGCAATATTGGTTGTTATAATTAATAGTTATTACAATCATTGGTTTTGCAACAAATCAATAGTTGTTAGAATATATAAAGTTACAATTAGTGGTTGTTATCAATCATAGTTGTTACTTTTCATTGGTATAGCAACAATTAGTAGTTGTTACAATATCGAAAGTTCCAATTGGTGGTTGTTACCAATGATAGTACTTATACAAATAGTGGTTGTTACCAATAATGGTCGTTACAATTAGTGGTTGTTACCAAAAATGGTCGTTACAATTAGTGGTTGTTACAATTAGTGGTTGTTACCAACAATGGTCGTTACAATTAGTGATTGTTACCAACAATGGTTGTTATAATTAACATTTTTTACTCTTAGTGGTTGTTACCAACAATGATCGTTACAATTAGTGGTTCACAGAAAATTATAAGGTATTAAAATAAGCTGCAACGCTTCTTATATTAAACCAATTTTGCTTATTTTAATACCAAAATGGTTTAAAATAAGCGATGTTATCAGTAGTTGTTACCAACAATGGTTGTTAAAATTAGTGGTTGTTACCAACAATGGTTGTTATAATTAACATTTGTTACTCTTAGTGGTTGTTGTCAGCAATGATCGTTAAAATTAGTGGTTGTTACCAACAATGGTTGTTATAATTAACATTTGTTACTCTTAGTGGTTGTTACCAGCAATGGTCGATACAATTAGTGATTGTTACCAACAATGGTTGTTATAATTAACATTTGTTACTCTTAGTGGTTGTTACCAGCAATGGTCGTTACAATTAGTGGTTGTTACCAACAATGGTTGTTATAATTAACATTTGTTACTCTTAGTGGTTGTTATCAGCAATGTTCGTTACAATTAGTGGTTGTTACCAACAATGGTTGTTACAATTAGTGGTTGTTACTAATAATGGTCGTTAAAATTAAAGGTTGTTACCAATAATGGTTCCTATATAATTAATAGTTGCTACTCTAAGTGATTGTTACAATCAATAGACGTTTTTTTAATTAAGAATCAAAGAATGAATTAATTAACACTGACTATAATAATTTAATTATTATTTATTTCAAGAGTCCATTAAATTTGTTTGTTTATTAAATATAGTGTTAAGCAAATTAATTTACAAAATTTAATTTGTAAATTGAAAACTCTGGGGTTATAAAGTTTATTGAGAGAATTTTTTTTTCTTCTTTTTTTTTTTTTTTTGCACGTTAAGTGAAAACAGTTATTCGCGGAATTGAAATCAATCCGGTTTTGGACTCTAAATATTTATAATCATCCATGAGACTTTCGAGATTTACGAAGTTGCGCGCACACACAGAGTTGAGAATATATAAAATGACTGAGATTTCTTCCGTGAGGACATTCTGATATTGAAAAAAAAAACGAAAGAACGTTTTTTTCTTTTTAGGACTGTAATTAAAATTTTAATTAACATTTTGCGATGTGGTCTTAAACATTTCACCCACAATTCGATTAAATTACACGCAAATTGCCGTTAAAGAACTATTATCTTCACATTTACACATACATATAATATTCATATTCGTGTCGCATGGTAACTAAATTTTCAAGGAATAATTGCTACTTTCAATTCATCATTTTCACCTTATTCTTATTCATTTATTATATTGTTATAAGACATAGTTGTTAGAAATTTTGCTTGCGATAAATTATGGTTGTTACAAATTATATGGCTGATAATTATGGTTGTTACAAACTGTAATTGTTATAATTCGTGGTAGTTGCAATCTATGGTTGTTACTATTCGTGGTAGTTACAAACATAAGAGCTATGATTGACAATAGTTAAAATTAATAATAGATGTAAAATGATGAAACTTCTGATAATTTGTACATTTATAATTTTATTTTATGAAATTGCGGAAGCCAAGGATTATATCCTTTACTCTATGTTGATACTTTTAATCCAATTTGAAAAGTGTCATTTTAAAATCTATTTTGAATATGATTGACGTAACTTAATTGAAATTAAAGCAAAATCTTTTCTAAAATCAGAAATTGGATAATTAAATTTTGGTTTGTTTATTTATTTTTTTTTTTTTTTTGTTTTTCAGGTGGAATATAGGCCATGTCTTGTTCCGGTAAATGCTTGGGAATTGATGCGAGAATTTCTTCAAGGCTTTCTTGGTTCCACTGTGTCAAATCAGGCACCTCAATACTTACAGGTAAAAGATAAATTCTGGATTAAATTAAATCAAGCGCAACTAAAAGTCATGTTGAACGATCGATTTTTTCATCAAAACCAAGACATGCGTTAATTTCTATATATATATATATATATATATATATATATATATATAAAAGAAAATAGTATTGAGAATAAATTCAAGGTGTAAAGTGACATTAAGAAGGATTAAAGTTAATGGAAATTCTTAGGTAATCGAATTTAATCATACTTTTTTTTTTAATATTAATATAATATTACGTAATCATATTATTGATTCCTTTGTGAGTACTCATATTCATTGAATATTTAAGTAATTCCTGTTTTTGAAAAGAATATATGATTATTTATTTTTCTCAATTATTTTTAAATTAGTCCATATTTACCATAATTTTGATTTTGATTAATGTTATTTATTATAGTTAATATTAATCATCATATATATATTTTTTTTAGAATCGAATGAGCGAAATTTATCAACCAATGGATACTATTCATCAGTATTTGGAGCATTTCGGTCAATACAGAAAAGCAACTGGAGTTATTTAAAAAAAAATATATATATATAACAGCAAACAAAAAATACACGACTAGTATTATTTAACGATAATCAATTATATATTATCGACAATATTATTTTTAACAAAATACCTATATAACAATAAAAAACAAAAAAGGTAGAGAAAATTTCAATTTTAGAAAAACAATTGAATTTTTGAATTTAAAAATATTTCGGTAAAAAATTGTTTAATTACCGACTGAAGAAAAATTAACAGCCTACAATGTTATCGACATTGATTTTGAGCTTTGAACAAGTGAATAGAGAGGGAGCAAGTAATTTGGAATTGTACTTTTCAAATTTTAGTATGTATTTCACATTTTAATACATTTCTATTTTTTTTTTTTTTATAATTGAAAAATAAAAATGAAGTATTTCATTATTTTAATTAATTTTTTTTCACGATTAGCTGTCATAGAAAATGTGCGCTAATATTTTCTTCTCCAAAATAAATATTGATTCGCACATATATATGAAGAGATTATTTAATGAAATAAATGATAATTGATCAACACCTCGTGCGGCAAATTAATGCGTACAATTCAAGAATCTAATAAATATGAATGGGACGTGATTGAGCAGTTTTTTTTTTTTTTTTGTCAGTTTATGAGAATTGAGGCAAGAAACTCGCAAATACGGTAATTTTTTTTTCTATTTTTAAAAATATTTGGTATTATTGTATATTGTTATCAATATTGATTGTTACAGTCATTATTTGTTACCAATAATGGTTGTTACAATTAATATTTGTTATTAATTAATATTATTAATTAATTAAAACTATTAATTAAAAAATTAATATTAATTACCATTAATGGTTGTTACAATTTATAGTTGTTTTCAATAATGGTTGTATCAAACAATAGTTGTTACAATAATGATAGTTATAAACAATGGTTGATAGAAACTCTTTTGCAGTAAGAATCAGTTGGTTGTAACAATCAATGGTTGTTACAATAATGGTAATCAATAATTTATTATTAACAATTATGATGTTGTTTTTAATACTTTAAATATAAAATCAATGAGAATGATGGGATTTCTAGACAATACTCTTGTTTCTAACTTTTTTTTTTTTTTTTGAAAAAAAACTCGTTATCCTTGAATATATTTCTCGTATCGAAGTAAAAGTAAACTTATTTAAATGTTTTCATTACACACGGGGGTCAAAGATCCTCTTTTGACTACATTTTCCATCAATGCATAACATTATAAAATATATATAAGTGCAGTTTTTCTGAATGTATACTTATGCATAGAACATTGTGTATATTTATCTTCTCATTAATATTATAATGATGCGATGACAATTTAAATGGAATTTTTCTTATTCGTGACAGACAGAGAAAGTTTATAATCGTTTTTGTGTGCGAGTTGCGTTGGCATTACCCGCGCTGTCGTTTGTATACCTCGTATACCTACAGAAAATATTTCTGCTCGACAGTTCTTTTTTTTTAAAAAAAGCGCCCTCATGTCCTCCATGTGGTCGATAGTGAAAACACGATTTTAGTGAAGCAACAACGACGCATCATATAGTTGCCATAGTCTCTTCGGAATTGAAAGCACACACGGAAAAGCCGAATTAAAAGTTTAATATACAATAATGGAGGTAAATTAATATGTCAATTATGTTTTAATACTAGCAATTATGCTCGTTATTATAGTATTAGATAAAAATGTATTTGTTAATTAAACTTAATTTTTTTTCACAGATCGAAATTCTGGTTGCTTCAAACTCAAAATTCATTGAAAATATAAAGGTATTTAAAAAGATTTTGAATTTAAAAAATTTTAATTAGTATTTGAATAATAATAATAAAAGCAATTCTAAATTACTACTTAATTGATAGTTTATTATTAAAATTTAATTTTTATTAACAATTTAAATAATTCTGTAATAAATATTTTTTATATAATAATAATAATTATTATTAATATTTTCATAACTCATTAAATTGAGAAAATTAATTTTAATTATAAATTTCTTTAAAATTATACGATTATTCAATTATTTATAATAATAATAATTGAATTATTATATTGTTAAATTATTATTTAAGTTAAAATTATTGTTATTGTTAATAGTGAATTGTTAATTATTTGCTAGGGAATTGTGTTATTTTGTATAAAAAATCACAGGAATTATTAATTATAAAACTACATTATGATTTGCGTTTCCAGGTCAATCCAAGTACCACGATAGGTGAAATAAAAAAAGGACTTTATAAGAGTAAAAAAGCCCCATACTCTGATAGGCAGAGCTTGAGAACTCAACCTAAAGGAAAATCGTTAGCTGACACTGATACAATAAAAAGTCTTGATTTAAAAGCTGGCGCAAAATTATATATGAAAGATCTTGGACCACAAATTGGATGGAATACAGTTTTTCTCGTTGAATATGCAGGTCCACTTATTGTTTATCTTTGGCTTTATCAAAGACCATGGTTATTTTATGGAACTGTAGATAATAAAATGCACAGTGTAGCGCAGTGAGTATTCAAAAAAAAAATACAGTTATCTCTCAAATATTTTTTGAAAAGAATTTGAAAAATCCCAAACAATTTCTCTTTAATAAAATACAGAGGTTCTCAAGAAATGAAAGATTTCGAAATTAAGAAAATTATATCGTAAAATATATAATAAATTTTATTTATTTGGTATAAAAATAAAAAAAAATTTATTTATTCAAATTTACGTGAATTTTTTAGATAAAAATTTATTGTCTCACGTGAATTATTTAGTTAACGGTATTATAAAACACGAGGAGACATTGTCGTATAATAACAATGACAGTGCAAAATTGAAAAATCGTTCAGTGTGAAAAAATTTTAATTCTATTGAAGAATTTAGATTAAAGGTTAAAATAAAATGCATATTCATTAGAAGAACAGATTATTACAAATTTTTTTTTTTTTTGTAAATAATTAATGGCCCCTTGTATTTAAATATAAATTTTTTAATTATTTATAAATTAAAAAATTTTATTAATAATTTTAATAGTTTTTAAAATATTATAATGTAAAAAGTATAAATTAATTGAAATAATTTTCAAAAAATATTTTAATAAATTGAAAATAAAAAAAAAATTAATAATTTGAAATTCTCTCTAAATTTTTAGTTGGGCAGCCGTTTGTTGGACAATTCATTATGCAAAAAGACTTGTTGAAACTTTATTTGTCCATCGTTTTAGTCATGCGACAATGCCAATTCGAAATTTATTTAAAAATTGCTCATATTATTGGTTATTTGCAATGTACGTTGCCTATCATGTAAATCATCCATTATTTACACCGCCAAGTCATATGCAATTTTTAATTGGCGTAACAATTTTCTTTTTGTGTGAATGTGGAAATCTCAGTATTCATTTGGCGCTTAGAAATTTACGACCACCGGGTACAACATTGAGAAAAATTCCCAAACCCGATGCAAATCCATTTACTGGACTTTTTAATTTGGTGTCTTGTCCAAATTATACATACGAAATTGGAAGCTGGCTTGGCTTCACCATCATGACACAATGTCTTCCAGGTAAAATTTTTTCGAATAAAAAAATTATAATTAATGTATTTTATTGATATAATTGACAATTTTTAATAATTCTTTTTTTTTTAGCCGCACTTTTCGCTTTTGCTGGCGCTTATCAAATGACATTGTGGGCTCTTGGAAAGCATAGGGCGTACAAAAAGGAATTTAGTGATTATCCAAAATGTCGTAAAGCAATCATTCCTCTTATTTTGTAATTAATTAAAATTACAATTTTACAATGAAAGGTGAAAATTTCTACATTTTTTTTTTTTTTTAAGTACAAAGAGAAAAATGAATGAAAAAAACTTTTGTTTTATTCACAATTTATATTACTATTTAAATAAAAATTTACGAAAAATTATTTTTCATAAATTTTACCAATTCTTTTTGATTTTTGAAAAAGAAAAATTATAAAAATTTTGAATTTTTTTTATTATATTATAAATTAGATTTCTTTTTGATATTAATTATAAAGTTGGTTCAATTTTATGTACTAATCGTTTAATATCGTCTTTTAGAACAATTATTTCCTGTTGGCATTCTTCAAGTTCAGTTTTATATTTCATTTGTAATTTCTCATTATTTTTACAAGCTTTAGCCAATTTACGTTTTGCTTCTTCGGGATTGATATTTTTTCCCTTAAGACCTAAAATATATTCCATGTCACTAATGTGTTTTTGTGCTTTTTTCAAACCTTCACGTAAGGGATTTATTTCATTCATCAGTATTATATTTTCATCTAATAATTTCTCTTCTTTTTTATCATTTGTTGTATCTTGAAATACTTGTTTTCGTAAACTTGCAATTGTTCGTTCTAAATGATCACGTTGTTTATTAAATTCACATTGAAGATCAAATTCTTCCCGACGTATATTTAAAAATGCCTCATCGTTACAATATTTGTGATAGAGTTTTTTAATTGATGTTTTTAATGATTGAGGTTCTTGTACGAGACGTGCAACATCGTAAATATCAATGTGCATACGTTTAAGGAGAATTTGACATTTTTTATTTTTTTCTAATTCACAACTATTGGCACGTTTGATGGTGAGGAATTTTTGTTTTAAACGACGATATTCTAATTCAATATTGATATTTGTTTTATGAAGATTTATTAATTCTGTTTCCATGTGATGTATTTTTTCCTTGTGTTCTTGAATTTCTTTGTCCTTGGGTTCAATTTGATTTTTTAGTTCAGTAATTTTTTGATCGAGGAGAAATTTATATTTTTCTAATTCACATTTATCGAATTTTAGAGAATTTATTGTTAATTCATTTTGATGAATTGCTGATTCTTTATTTATTATTTCGTCACGAGAATGATTTGTGTCTTTTTCTAAATTTTCAATGGTTTTCTTCAAAAATTCACGCTCATCATTCCAGTTATCAATTTTTTGTAAAAGTTCTTCTTCATTTTTTTGACTTGTTAAATATTTATTTCGAATCACTCCAATTTCGCCGCGAAGTTTTAAAATTAATTGTCTTTCATTTTCTAAAATTTTTTCATTTTCTACACGTAAATTAATTATTTCTCGATCGGCATCGTCTTCGATTTGAATTCTCATTTGTTCATTAATTTTTTCACGATGTAACATTTCTTGTTTAATTTCCTCAAATTGTGTGTCTTTTCTCTTTATTTCCATTTCGTAATTGGAACTTAATTTTTTGAGACTTTCATTTTTAATTCGATCGAGGTGCTCTAATTTTCCCTCATAATCTCGACATGTTTGTGAATTTTTTATTTCCAAATTATTATATTTCTCATATTCTGTTATTAATTTGGCTTCGTAATTTATTTCCAATTCCTGCATTATTTTCTCATGATTTGATTTCATTTTTACAATTTCATTGTTTATGATATTTAATTCATTTTCGTGTTCCTCTTGAAGTTCTTGAATGTTTGTTTGTAATTGTTGTATTGCCTCACCATAGCCTTGATGTATATCACGAATTGTATCGTTATATTGAATTTCATTTTGTTTTAATTTATAAATGTGTTCCGTTTCTAATTCCATGACACGAATTGATAAATCATTGATTTGTTGTATTTTTGTATTAAGATCGTTTCGATCAATTAACACTTGTTTGGTGACAAAATCATCTTTTATATGAATATCAGGATGTTGAACTTTCCAAAAACAAAGTGTACCATCGATGCCAGCTGTTATTAAAATTCGCTCATTGTAAGCGAAAGCAAACTGAAAATTTGAAAAATTAATTAATTTCATTGAAAACAATTTTTAAAATTTTTTATTACCTCAGTGATGTCACTACTGTGAATTCGAAAATCTTGAAATTCAGTTGGATCTTGTAATGGATATTTTACAGAAATTACTGCTCCACCTGGACAGGAAACGAGCATCATTGGATTATTTTTACCCAAAATAATACGACTAAGTTCCCAATTATTGCAATTAAATGATCGAATTACCTTTGAAAAAAGAAAATTATAATTATTTATTCCATGGAAAAAAAAAAAAATTCAATTTACTTACCGAACTCTCTTTTATTTCGTGAATTTTCCTATCACCGGAAATACAATAAATTGTCAAATCGTCCGACGATAATACAACTCCATTAATCGTGACTTCTTTAATAATAACTTCAGTGATACGTGTTCCATTAAACATTTCCCATTCATAAATTGCCCCATCATTGCCAATTGTAATTAATTTTCCATCTGTTTTTGACCATGTAAAACCAGTGATTATTCCCGTGTGACCTTTCAATAGAAAACGTGATCGAAAATCCATTGTCGAATAAATATGAACAATATTTCCATTAACGGCGGCAAATAAATGTCCACCATTACTAAATGATGTGATTTTACAATTTTTTATTGGAAATTCACGAATCATCATTAGATCATCGATTAAAATTGTCATAAAACGAAGTTTATCACTAAAACCAATAAGACAAAAAAGTCCATTTGGATGTAATGAAACACTAAAAATATCCTCCATATATTGTTTAATCATAATTAAATTTTCCAATTCATAATCCCAAATTCGAACACTACGATCGTGTGCACCACAAGTAATGAAAATTGATTTCCAACTACACATTGAAAGACCATTTATTGGTCCATGATGTAAATTTTCTCCAATTGTTTCTAAATCAATTGTTTCAATTTCATTTGTAGATGATGATTTTCCACTAATTTTCCCTGTGAATAATTGTGACCAACCAGTCGTTACAATAACACGATCTGAACTTAAATTTGAATTAATTGAATTGATACGATATAAATCTTGTGATTCAATTTTTGAAATTTGTCTTGGTACATTGTAAATAATTTTTTTCACATATCTATTTTGTCCGTCTTGCTCGAAAACAATCATTTTACCATTACCAAAACCATAAACAAAACAATTACCAATAACTGTCAAACAAACAATATCAATATTCGATTCTTGTTTACGAACAATTTCCAAACTTGTTGTTGATGTTTGTAAAACAAATTCTTCGCGTATTTTCAAATTCATCACTATTGTATCAAGCATATTGAAAATGAATTTTAATTCACCATTTTCAAGAAATAAAATTCTTGCATCTTTTGTGCCGGCTAAAAGTCTTTCAATATTTAGCCATGCCAATGTGGTGATGAATAAATTTTCAGCTTTTGCAAAACCATATGGACGCCAAACTGTTTCAGAGACGGTGAGAAATTTAAATATATAGGGACCACCGAGTGCAACAATTCCCACATCACCTGGATTACATGACAATAGTTTAACTATTGATTCAGAATTTTGAGAATTTCCAACTTTAATATTTGATTCAACTTTGCCTTTTTCCCAATTATAGAATAACATCATTTGATCGGGTTCATCTGTTATTGCTGCTATATTTTTATTATCTGCTGTAAATGAAAGACAGGTGAATTTTTTTACTCCCATTGAATCGTATGGAATGCCAAGGGATTTTTTTCTCTTTAGACTTTGTAGATCGTAAATTGAAATTGTTGGTTTTTCATCCACATCACTGACTGCCACATATTTTCTATAATAGCCGAAAAATTATATTTATTTGTCAATATTTTTTTTTATTACATTAATTAATTATTATTAATTATTATTAATTATTATTAATTATTAATATATTCTAAAAAAATAAATTCAAAAAAATATTTCCTACTATATATTTCTAAAATATTAATTTTTTTAAAATTATAACTTAAACTCTGAAATTGTTTGCGAATAATTAATTAATTAATTAAATTTAAATTCTTAAACAATTCCTTGAATAGTTATAATTTTAATTTAATTTTTAAAACAATTGAATTTTTATTGTTAATGAATTTATTTATATTTATTATTTATAAATTATCTTATATTTGTTTGTTTTTATTTTTTTTGTTTTCAGAGTTAAGAATTAAGAAAAAAAAAAAAAAAAAAAAAATTGAATTCGAAAAAACTCACCGATTTGGCGAGACAGCTATAATATTTATTTGCTGTTTATCCGGTAATAAAATGAGTTTTTGACGTCGTTGAGAAATATTGTGAATTGATAATGCATTACCCACTGGATAAAGAATATCCCCATCAGTAATATATTGAGCATTACCAATAATATTTGTTTTTAATCCATAAAATATTTTGCATTGTAATGCCGATGCAGTTGTTTTTGACAATTGTCGAAAATCTTTCGACATTTTTTTAATTTTTGGTTAATTTGATGGAAAAGAAAGAAAAAAATTATTATCAATTATATCTCTGAAGATGTTAATGAAATAGACGAAGAAATATGTTTACAAATCACCATGACAACCAGTTTAGATTGCAATTGAAAGAAAAAAAAACACACAATTAGGTAAGTTTACAATTATTAATGTTTATAACTTTTTTTTAAATTTTTTAATAATAATAATAATTATTATTATTAACAATTTAATTTATTATTATTATTATCATTATTATTATTTTTATTATTATTATCAATACAATTTTATTTGACAATTTTTAATATTTTGTTTAATATTTATTTGGTAAATAGATGTTTGAAATATTAATTATATAAAAATCTAACGAAAGAATTTTAATTATTCTTTACTCTATTTTATTTTAATGACGAAATTTAAATAAAAAAAAAACATCTGTTTTGAATTTTTCGTCAAAACGACAATAGTTTAAAATTAGGCAATTTGAATTTTCCCGCCGCGCTTGCTAGCGCCCTCTCGACTTACCGCGTCTTACGTAAAACTCACAGAAAGGAATTCTCTTTACCAATGATTGGTCATTCTGTCTCTGTCAGTAGGAACGAGAACAACGTTAACCTAACTTTCATTTCCTGTGTTTATCTTTTGTAAATTCTTAAAATTTCTCTTTTACCATTTGGTTTTTGAGTCTCGGTGGTTAATTTAAAGGTTCAGAGTAAAAGTTCCCCGTTTCCGCGGGTCGTGCAAAGATATAGGTACAAGTGCAGTTGCAAGTATGTATTTTGTGCTCAGTCGCGGTACAACTCGTGGTTAGTTGAGTTTCATCTTGTGATAAAGTGATAAAAAATTCATTATTTGTTGACTATTAAATTCGTCGTGTTTTTTTTTTAAAAAGAAAAAATAATCAAATTAGAAGTGAAAAAAAAAAATTATATAGTTTATCGCGAATGAAATGAGACGACCGCTTATACGGCATTTGTCTGAAGGTGGTGGTGGTGCCGGTAGCGATAAAAACAGACGGCAATCAATTAAACAAACAAATGACGATGATCGTGGTTATAATTGGAATTCACGTAATTATCGACATCATGTCTCGTCCTGTGATCTTCTTAAAGTGCCATCGACAAATCATCGTGGCCGCATTTCTCCAGAACCACGGTTAACAGTGACGTCCGTTACCACGAGCACCATCAACAACAGGTTGGTACTTAATCTGAGTGTCACGAACCCAACGGGGTTGCGATTGTTTTATTCTTCTTCTTTAGTCAAACTGATATATCTTTTTTTCATACTTTTTATCTTTCTTCTTTTTTCTAAGGGGTTTTAAAAAACTTCTTATTCAAATTGGTTACGCCAGGTGCTTTTTCTTGATGTTTTCATTTGTTGACAAAATATTTTTTTAGTTACCCAATGATCGGATTTTAATGAAGGAATATTCTGATTATTATTTATTGACATTTTTTGGTTAATAAAGTGATTTTTTTAATTTAATATTTTGCTATAGTAAAAGTGAGGTTAAGAACAATTAATTATTAATTTAAAGCACTATTAGGTTATGTGAAATTAAAGCGAGAGTTATCGTTATTATTTATTGTCATATTAATTTTTGTTCTATTTTTATTGAATCTACTAAATTTTTATAAAATTAATTAACTAAACTATTTGAATAATTTAGTTATTTTTATTTGAATAATTTATTTCATTTTAGTTATATTAATTTTTGTCTTATGACAAATTAACTGAAATATTTAGTAATTTTTATTAACCAATTGTTTAGCCGTTTTTTTCTTTTTTTTAATTAGATAAATAATCTGTCAATTTTTAATTGTATTTTGAATAAAAATTAGTAATTTTTTATTTACTGATGATTAGTTTTTTTTTAAAAATAATTATTCATAGTATGAAATGTTTTAATAAGTATAATTAATAAATTAATTTTAATTAATTTAGATTTAATGATTAAAAAACATAATTTTCGAAAAAAATTTTTTGATTATATGAATTTTTACCATTATTTATTTATATTTTAAATATAAATTAATATTTATGATAATTCATATTTATTTATCTCATATTTTACGTATATTTTTATTTATAAAATGAATTTTTTTTCATAAATTTATATATAAATTATTATTTATATAAATATTCATTACAATAAAGTGGAAATAATATAAAATTATGTTTTTGAAATAAAAGCGGAAAAAAGGGTCAGGAAGAGATTCATATAGAAAAGTTTAAATTTGTTTGCGCACATGATTAATGTTTGAAATTTAAAATAATAGAAGTCATGATTGCAGCAGTTGTATAATGCATAATTTTTCATAAATATACTGCACATTTCATGTTAATTTTTTTTTTTCAAGAAAAAAAAAGTTTGAATGAATTTTTGTTTTTTGACAAAGACTTTATTTTTTTGTTGAATTCAAACCAGTTTTTTTTAACATGCATAATGACTTTTTAAAATGAAGTTCCTGTTATATTCTAAAATTTTTAACTTTCAAATGGGACAAATTTAAAAAATATAATTGTATTTCTAACATTAAAATAATATAAATTTTATAATTTATAATATCTTTAAAAAATATTATTAAAAATTTGATCTATTGATTGTATTATAATTTTTATAAAATGTTCGAGAAAATGTTTTTTACTTAAAAAAAAAAGCTCGACCCTTTTAAAGCTCAAATATACAACTTTGCTTTTTAACTTATTTTAAAAAATAGGTTAATCGATTCATTTTTTTAAAAGCCTTAAGTTGTAAATTTCTATATTTTATTAAAACATTTCTAATTTTTTTTTTTATATATTCATTAAAAATTTGTTTTTATAAAATTTTTAATGTACTGTAATATTTTAGTTAGGATTTTAAATAATAGAATAATTTTTTTTTTATAAATTTCGTAAAACAATAGAATTTATTATTTTTTTTATTTTTATTTAGAAAATTAATTTATCAGATGGAAATTAATTAGAAAGGAGTTTGCTCGAATTCAATAATGTTTGTGTAGATCAAATCAAAGTTTACGTAATCTAATCATATATGGCATTAAGAAAAATTTAATTTAATTTATTTTTCACAAATTTAATTGAAAAAATTATTTAGCTTACATTTTATTTAACATTTGTATGTAATTGTTATATTGAAAATTATTCTATTTTTTTTTTTTTGGAAAATGAATATATTTTTCGATTTCATTGAATGTTAGGATTTTTTTCGATTGTCTGGATTTAGGTATATATCTATTATATTTGATATACCTGATAAAAGGACGTTATCAATTTTAATTTTATCATTTTTCTTTTTCTTTCAAAATACTGATATATTTTCCATAAAAATATATATATATATAGAGAGAGAACGTTATTTTTTTTTCTCCTAATAAGGATGATATTTAACACTTTTTTCCCCCTCTCATTAAAAATACAGAAGAAAAAAGGATTTCAGCTTCCTAAACCATCAAGGTCTTTATATATTTAATCACATTTTAATCCCTCCTCTTTCGCTAATTTAGAAGAATTTTTTAGAGCAGAACAAAGTATTTTTAAAATGAAATTAAAGAAGTCGAGTTTTTCCTCCTCGGACTTTATATTCTCCATCTTTTCTCCTCTTCATCCATAAACTATGTTACTATGTTATAATAAAACGCGAATTTAATTAAAAACAAAGAAGATAATTACTTTTCACCATCAGATTAGTGGAACAGTTTAATTAAAAAAAAAATAAATAAATAATAAAATAGATAAACACAATACGTTAACATAATTATTAATTTTCATTTGTAGAACTCGTCTTTTACGTATAAAATGATCGTTATCAAAAATTTTTTTCGAAATATAGGAATTTCGAAAATATGTTATCTATTATATGTCTTATTTCGTATAGATATTAGTTCGAACTTCCAGTGAATCGAATTATTTTGGGTCCATTTTTTATTTAATCGAATTCTATAATACACTGAAAAAAATTTATTTAATTTAAATAATCGGATACTTGACTATTAACAAAGAAAATAATTTGAACCAAATAATTTTTATTTGAATTAAATAAATTGTATATTTGAAGCAATAATTTCTGTATTTGAAATAATCAATCAATCAATTAAATGCATTTAATTGATTCAAATAATAATTATTTGATACAAATAAATATTTATTTGATAATAATCAAGTAATCAATTATTTGAATGAAATAAATTTTTTTTTTTTTTTAGTGTATAAGAGTAAAAGAAATCATTCTTGATTTTTCTATAAATTGAGAAAGGTGGGGGAAAAAAAATTCAGGTTCAACTGAATGATAAAATAAAATAAGGAAAGTAAATAAGGGTCAAAATAAGATGGGAATAAAAAAAAACAGTATTATACAGATAAGAAAGTGGAATATTTTGTTATTCTCTTTTTATTTATATCCTTTTTTTAAAATCATTGATTGGCACTCGTTAAAGCTATCGAAATTGCAACAAGGAACGACTTACATGAAATATTCATGGACGAATCACGTGTGTACTAAACAAGGCTCATGGAACATTTAGATAAAGGGAAAGAAAACGATTGGTTAGCTTGTATATTCCTATAATGGGACCAGTGGACTTTCGATATATATATACAAACTGCAAATCCTCAGTTGTGAATCGATGTTGACTGTCATTGAGCAAATTATATTCAATATCTATTTCAGAAAAAAAAGTTGATTTTTCAGAGTTCTTTTGCGCATTAGCAAATTAATGAGAATTCGTTCACTAATTCAAATTAGTTGAAATTTTCATTAATTTTTTAGTAAAATGTTACTATTTGATTTAGTAATATATAGTTTCTTTTTTTTTACTAAATTTTTAGTGAAAAATGACTAAAAATTAGTAGAAATGTTCACTAATAAATTATTGAACTAAATTCTCGCTAATTAAAATAGTCGTTGATTTTTACAAATGTGGTTGTAATTAAAATTTATCGATGGTGGTTTTTTTTTTTTGAATTGTGATTATGGTAGTTATAGTCGATTGTAGTTCAATTTGTTTAGTGTCAAATGTTGTATTATTTAGTCGACAAGGACATTTATCTGGAAAAGTAGTTTTTGAAATTATAAAAAATGCATACCCGGTGTTTCTTTTTTTTTTTGACACAAATTACTTTCGTATATGTGGATTTACGACATGG